GGGAGAGAATAAAGTTATGACTGGCTCTCAGAATGGTACAGAAGAGTGCTGGAATGGGTTTGACAAGTGTCTGTTGATGCCATGTAGTCTTTACAGAAGCTCGGCAAGTGGATTTGGAATATCTTCTCAGTTTCCTTTCTTTTCCATAAAATTTCTCCTTTTCAGTTCTAAAAAGAAGCCTACCAAACTTTCATTCAAAGAGAGAAAATGTTTTGCATAAATGCAGGGAATCCAAGAACTTGAAATAAAAACCAAAAACCAAACCCACTGCCATTGAGTTGATTCTGACTCGTAATGACCCCATTGGGTTTCCTAAGTGGTAAATCTTTACAGAACTAGATTGCCTGGTTTGTTAGACTGGGTTCTCTAGAGAAACAAAACCAGTAAAGCTTATAGAGAGAGAAAGAGAAATTTATCTTAGGAAAATGGCTCACACACTAATAGAAGCTAGTGAGTCGCAAGTTCTTGGATCAAACATCAAGCTGGAGGCTTCTCCCAACTCACGCAGCTGCAGGGGCTGAGGAGCTCAAGGTTGGCAGGCAGTATACTGGCTGTTGACTCCAATGAATGACGAATCCAAGATCTCTAGGCTGAATGGTAGATTGTTCCCATTCTGCAGAATCCCAATCCACAGAAGAGTGTTTCTTTTCCCAGGATGTCCATAAATATCCTGGAAGCAGGCCACAGCCCTAGGGAAACTCCCTTTCAATGGACTGGCTGCTCAAAACATATAAATCTGATTCCATCATCGGAACAACCCACATCACAATTGCTTAAACCACACAGAATTGCAGTCCAGCCAAGTTGACACACAGCTCCAACTATCACACTTGGTCTTCTTTCTGCGGAATGGCTGGTGGGTTTAAACTGCCAACCTTCTGGTTAGCAGTCAATTGCCTTAGGCACTGCATCACCAGAGCTCCTTAGAACTTGATATAATGGGAATAAAAGGCTCTCATAAGAAGAGCAAAACTCAGATGGGAAACAGATTATTTGAACCATATAGCTGATAGAAGAATATATGCTAAACTTTTGGGTTATACTAACTAGAAAAAGATAAATGGTAGCAGTGTGGTGGAAGAAGAGTGTGCAAAGATACATGAGAAAGATTTCATTCTTCTGAAGCATATCAAAGAATTTCAAAAGAAATATCATGAAGGAAAGTCAATAAATTCAGATTGTTTTTTCTTACCAGCTTGAAAGATTGCAGGGCAAACTTGCTAAAGGTACAATTTCCTTTTCTAGAAACGTTCTCTATGGGACATCGCTTTTCTCACTTGTTAATACATACCAGTTACTCGAAGTTTATCTGTACCAATGACAACTTCTTTTTCATCCACTGTAAATAGTGGCTTGCCATCCTTGGAGTTGATCTGAAACTGCTGACTCTGGACATCTACCATTTTAGGACCTGAGGGATTAAATAAAAGAGTTCATTATAAAGTGTTTACCATACACAGCTTTGAAATCTCTATGTTTACACGAGTATGTCACCCAGCAATGCCACATTACTAAATATTTAGGATTTGTTGCCAATAATTGTTTTTGAACATTTTATTGTGGTTTGGGTAAAAGTTTACTACAATTTCCCATTCAAGAGTCTATACTCATTCTGTTTCATGACATTAGTTGCAATCAATATAACACTTCTCACTCCCTCCCTGGTTTCCTTGTTTTCATTAGTCCTTCTTTTCTGCTCCTTCCAGCCTTCTGAACTTTGTTTTTGGGCAAAAGCTGCCCTTTTGGTCTCATATGGTTGATTGTTCTGAGGAGTACATTTCTCACTGGTGTTATTGTTCACTTCACAGACCTATCTGTTGTTTGACTGAAAGATGATCTCTGGGAGTGGGTTCAGTTCTAGGTTTGAAGGGTATCTAAGGGCCATAGTCTCTCTGAGACCAGTGAGTCTGGTCTTTTTTATTGTTTTGAATTTTGTTCTACATTTTTCTCCCACTTTGCCCAGGACCTTCTATTGTGATTCCCGTCAGAGTGGTCAGTAGAGGTAGCTGGGCACCATCTAGTTCTTCTGGTCTCAGACAAGTGGAAGCTCTTATTTGTGTGGTCCATAAGTCGTCTGAATTAATTATTTCCTTGAGTTTTCTATTTTTTTCACTCTTCTTTGCTCTGCATGGGAAAAGATCAATATGTATCTTAGATGGCTTCTTGTAAGCTTTTAAGAACCCAGTAGCTACTCAACAAAGTAGAATGTAGAACATTGTCTGAGGTAGCTTGAGAAGAACTGGTGTCAGCTCTTTTCTGAATGTTTAGTAGAATCCTCCAGTGAAATTGTCTAGGCCAGGGATCTTCAATTTATTCTTTTGTTATGGACATTTCAAATTTTCAGACTCAGTCTGTGTTAGTTTAGGTAGGTTCTGTGTTTCAAGAAATCTGTCCATTTCTTCCAGGTTTTTAATTTGTTGGCAGACAGTTCTTCATAGCATGTTGTTATTATCCTTTTTATTTCAGTGGATTCTGTTGTAACATTACCCATTTCATTTCTTATTTGTGTTATTTGCATCTTTTCTCTCCTTTCATTTGTTAATTTGGCCAGTGGTTTATTGATTTTATTAATCCTTTCATAGAATCAACTTCTATTCTTATTGTTTTTCTATTTTCAGTTTCATTTATTTATGCTGTAATCTTTATTTCCTTTCTTCTGGTGAGTGTGTGCTTTTTTTTTTTTTTTTTTTTTGCTAATCTTTTTCTATTTGTTGAAGTTTTAGGTTTAAGGTGTTGATTTTGGTTTGTTGTTCTTTTTTGATGTGTGAATTTATTGCTATAAACTGACCTCTGAGCACTGCTTTTACTGTGTCCCAAAGTTTTAGTATACTGTTTTCATTATCATTTGATTCCAGGAATTTTTTTATTTCTTCTATTAGTCAGTAGTTTTAAGCAGGGTATTGAATGTTTCCAAGTATTTGATTTTTTTTTCCCTTGTTTTTCCTGTTACTACTGATTTCTAATTTCATAATGTTTTGATCAGAGAAGATGCTTTGTGTTATTTAGTTTTTATTTTATTTTATTTTATTTATTTATTTATTGATGCTTGCTTTGTGACCTAACACATGGTCTATTCTGGAGAATGATCCATGTGTGCTGGAAAATAATGTATACTGTGCTATTGATAAGGAGCTCTGGTGGTAATAGTTAAGGCATTTAGTTGCTAAACAAAATGTCAGTGGTTTGAACCCACCAGCCATTCTGTGGAAGAAAGATGGGGCAGTCTGCTTAAATAAAGATTTATAGCCTTGGAAGCTCAATATGAGTTGGGACTGACTTCATGGCAGTGATTTTTTTTTTTCTTTTTAATGCTGTTGTTGGATGAAGCATTCTGTATATGTCTGTGAGATTAAGTTGGTTGATTGTGTTGCTAGCTCTGTATATTTGTTGGGTTTCTTTTTAGTTCTGTCCTTCATCAAAAATGATATGTCAAAATCTTCTACTATTATTGTGAAGTTGTCTGTTTTTCTTTTCAATTCTGTAAAATTTGTTTTATAAATTTTGGAGCTCTTTCTTTGGGTGCACAGATATTTATTATGGTTATTTTCTCTTGTTGGATTGACCCTTTAATAACTAAATATGCTCTTCCTTATCTCCTATACTGGTTACCAATAATTTTTTTTTTATTTTATAATTAAAGGCTGTATTCCATATCAAATATATGTATGGATAAATTATTTATATTTTTACTTTTTTCAGGTTTTTAAAACTTGCAAAAAATAATGTAATTTTTCCACTCAGATAATTTAAATGCATATTCTTTTGAGTATTACAAACTAATGATTTGGCACCCTGAAATGTGAAATTTGGAAACGATCATTTTATGAATGGCTCACTTGAATTGCTGAAGTTAACACAGAAGATGGGTCATTCTCATATTTTGTCCTCCATGCAGAAAATGGACACCACCATGTAAAACCACTTTCTAGTTTCTGATTTTCCATCACCTAAAGCATTTTTGTCTTCTCCATTCGTCCTTTCTTTCCAAGTCAGTTATAGAGACATTGCTTTCCCTGCCAAGGTTAATCCCTGCACCTGAGCTTTGGGCCCATTCCCTCCCAACTCATTAATTTATTATACAAATGCTTAATGGATGCCAATCACATGCCAGACACTGAGGCATCCAGTGCTCTCAGGAGATTATGAGATCTTGTTTGGTTTCTGACCCCTCTCATCCACACACTCAGCTATAACCTAATTCCAGGCATTCCCTAGTGTAGAACTGCTCCATCAAGTTTTCTTTTTATAAAGGTACATTTTCCTTCTTTCTTTTAAAAATATTTTTATTGTTATTTGGGTGAAATTTTACAGAGCTGATTCATTCTCCATTCAATAGTTCGTACACATTTTGTTTCGGGACATTGATTACCATCCCCACAATGTAACAGCTGTCTTCCCACATCCTCCCTGTGGTTACCCTTTTCCCTGTGTCCTTGGGTTTTCTTAATGGTAATCTTTAGGGAAGCAGATTACCAGGGCTTTTTCCCATGGTGCCACTTGTTGTTATGTGCCGTCGAGTCGGCCCCGACTCATAGCGACCCCTCCTTGGGTTTCCGAGGCAGTATCACTAGGTATGGTCAAACTACCAACTTTTAGGTTAGTAGTCAAATTCAAACTGTGCCACTCAAGAATGTCAGAGAACTACAAGGATTTCTTAATTATAAAGATATTGGATTTATAGTCTTTTATCTAGAAAATAATAATTTTTAACAACTGGAAAATGGATCATGTATTCTAATTTTCGTGTATGTGTTCCTGTCCTTCACAGTACTCTTTAAAGTTGATGGCTACCTAGTAGAAATTACATAAAAGCTTTTCAATTAATGTATTAATCAGTTTTGGACATTGTTGCATAAGTATTTTTATGTGATCTCACTGATTTGTACTGAGGTATAAACCCTGAATAGATACATATTTAGAGAGGCAGTTATAATGGTAGAACTCGGTTTTTCTTCCATGCTTTTACCTTCCTCTTCAGGAAGCTTGACTCTATGTTCTCACAGCCAAAAACATCAAACTCACTGCTATCAAGTTGATTCCAACGCACGGCAACCCCTTTGGGTTTCCATGGAGGTAAATCTTTACAGAAGTAGACTGCCTGGTCTTCCTTCCATGGACTGGCTGGTGGCTTTGAACCACCAGCCTTCAGGGTAGCAGTCCAATGCCTTAGACACTGTGCCACCAGAGCTCTTTTATGCTCTTGTAGTGGTATACATTGTTTCTCCTCTGAGCTTTCTTACACAGAAAGAGACTCAGGGTCCCTGTTTACCTTTTCTGCCTCACTATTATGTCTTACATGCTTGCTACATAAATTCTGATTTGTATTTATTGATGATATTATTTTACCTGAACATAAAATTGAGAGAAAAAACACAATTTATCCAGTAAAGTCGATTGTTTTGCTCATTGAAAGTTTATGCAATGAGTCTTGTTGTTGAGTTGATTTTAACTCATAGAGACCCCACGTGATGGAGTAGAACTGTCCCATAGGGTTCCTGGGGCTGTAGTCTTGACAAGAGCAGATAGGCAGGTCTTTCTCCCTTGGAGACACTGACTGGGTTTGAACCACCAACCTTTTGGATAGCAGCCAAGCAGGTAATCATTACACCACGAAGGCTTCTTAGAATGAGTCTAAGAGGCTTTATTAAGTTTAAAGGTTAAACTAATATTGATTAATTGTTTTTTGTTTCTATTATTTCATATACATTGAAGAAATGTTCAATACATAAGTTTAGTTGCATAATATTTATAAGTGTAGTTTGTTGTTGTTGTTATGTGCTGTCGAGTCGGACCCGACTCATAGCAACCCCTCCTTGGGTTTCCGAGGCAGTATCACCATGGAAGTAGATTGTCCCATCTTCCTTCTGAGGAGCAGCTGGTGGGTTTGAAACGCCAGCCTTCTGATTAGCAGTCAAGTGCCTTAGGCACTACGCTACCAGAGCTTCCATATTTATGAGTAGCAAAGCTATATAAATTCTTACTCGAATCAAAGAAAATGTAAGAAATGAGTCTATTCTATTCAACACAAATGCATACTTTTTCTATACAAGGCTTTATCCTACAAACTGAGGATATAAAAAGTAGTAAAATGTAGGTTATGGTGTAGTACACTAAGAAGAAAAACATATACACCCAGTTCCAGGACAATTTGATAAGTACTTTGACACAAACACAAGGAACTCTGGTGGCACAGTGCCTAAGGCATTTGACTCCTAACCAGAAGGTTGGTGGTTCAAACCCACCAGCCACTCTGCAGAAGGAAGATGGGGCAATCTAATTCTGTAAAGATTTACTGCCTTGGAAAGCCAATGAGGGTTGCTATGAGTTGGAGTCTACTCGATGGCAATGAGTTTTTTTTTTTTTTTTTTTTTTTTTGATACAAACAAGGAGCTCTGGTGGTGCACTGTTTAG